CTGAGGGGAGCAGCGGGCGGGTCAGGAGAGGTCTGCCACACCATGTGGTCACCTCCGGGGCAGGCGGGAATCGAACTCATACGGAAGCGGCTTTAGATTCTCAGTGCTGTGCTTTAACCCGCTGCGCCACCAGGGAGGGCCCACAAATAAATCTTTTAAAAAAATATTTTTGCATAGAAGAATTGGGGTCTAGGCCAGAGGTTCAGGGGGTGAGAGGACTCAATGGAGACAAAGTGGGGAGCAGAAATATTGAAATACTGTGCTGAGGGGAGAAGAGGTCTGCTATACCATATGTGGGTCTCCCTGGCTGGGGGTCAAACTCAGGCTGTAAATTGATAGTGCTGAGACTTAATCCCTAGGCTACCAGGGAGTCCCACAACTGCATTTTCTATTTCAGCACGTTTTATATACCAGCCCTCAAATGGAATTGAAATCTTGGGGACTCTAACTCCAAAGCAACTGAAATTTGAATTTAGGTGCTGCTGCATTTTGTCATGGTCGTTATCATTCCCTGTTGCATTTCATCTGCTGGCTGGCTTAATGGGCAAAAAGCTAGGTTTCTCACTCCTGAATTGACAAGGAGGTCTGGATTTACTGTGTCACAAACATGGTTTCCCAAACTCATGTGAGGGTAAGACAAATATTCTCCCAACTCTGGATAGAAGAATCACTGTCCTTTTCATACCTTGTTTAACAAGTTCTTTAATTCTCCCTGGAGTTCCAACACCCAGGTGCACAACACGCTTCTCTAGCATCTTTACTTGTTCTTGGACCTACTCCAAGATGGAAAAGAAGTCATTAGGAAGTACAATCACAGGGCATTTTATCTAAAAGACAGGAAAGTAAAAAGAAAATGGTATCTGGGGTTGCTCTTTTTTAAGGTAAGTTTCCAGGTTAAGGAAGGTTAATATCAAGACAGAAGATCATCTCCTCAGAAAACTGGTAAATCTTGAAAGAATAGAGGGGTCAATTCTGTGCATCTCTACAATAATCCCACAGCATGGAGGGGTAGTCACTGTTTTGGGGGCAGCTGGGGATGTAGAAGCAGAATGAAAAGAATTTTAGAATGCTTGTTAAATATAAAGAGGCGCCAAAGAGAATGCTTGTTTAAGGAGATAAGAAAAAGAGGTTGAAGAGGAAAAGCTGAAGGACTTCTTAAAGGCAACTTATGTCTCCTACCAGGCCACAAGCCTTTCCTTACCTTTATGTGTTTTGCAAATAATTTCATAACTTTGCCATTGCCCCTGAATGCTGTCATCGATCTAATGAAAGAGAACAGCTTAGTCAATAAAAAATTCACTCATTCCAGGCCATGCTGACTACTTACATATTACATATTAACTTATTAATAAAAGAACAGGTGCATTTATATATATATATATATATATATACACATATGTGCATATGCATATATGTGTATACATACACATAAATTATTGTCAAATTTTCAGGTTAGTCCAACACTGGAATGAAAGTGGGAAGGCATAGAGGCACAAATCTGGGTTTTATTCTAACTCATACACAAGGTCTACTTTATTTACATTTCCTTGGTTACTGAAACATTTGGGACAGCCTAGCACTTTCTATATTTCAGGTCCCGGGTAAACAGTTTATTTTCAAACTTTGCAGTATAATTCTCATGCACAATTGTGAGAAATATCTTAAAGCATGATGTCAGCTTGAAGTCTGTGGAGCCCAAGGCATCAAGCAAAGGTTCATGACTGCTATGGAGGAGAACTGGGGGTGTGCTGACAGTGAGAAAAGGGGGGCTAGGTCCTTTAATCAGAGAATCCTTCCCCCAACCCCTTTATTCTACTTTGTAGAGGGAGCTTTCTGTAAAATTTTATCTAAGGTAATAGCGTGGGTATAAAAGAACAATCTTTTAGTTGATATTTGGGGATAGAACTTACTGTCCCCTTTGCCTGGAACACTCCTCTTCCAGATATCAATGTGGCTCTATTCTTTACCTTGTTGTGAAGTCTTTGCTCAAAAGTCATCTCCTTCAAGAAGTGTTCTGGGATCCTCCTTTAAAACAGACTACCCTATTCACTCAAACCTTTGCCATGTTGTATTTTTCTTGTATAAGCTATCACTACCTGACATAACACTTACTACTTGTTTATTGTTTGTTTTCCTCACTGTAAAGTCTCCATGAGAGGGAGGCTCAATTGCAGAGTGTGGTTCATTGTTATAGCTCCTGCATATAGAACATATTATTCTGTAGGTATATGTCACTCAGTAAACACTTATGAAACAGAATAGGCAATGCTTTCAACCTGATGAGCTCCAGGGCTCGGATGGCAGAGCTGCAGACGATCAACATCAAGACTGATTTCTTCTCACTGTGGTTCTTCCAAAGTTTTGCCCACTTAGGGCAGACTAAAAAAAAAGGCCATAAGAAAATTACTACTCTAAATATAGTAAAATAGGATCCCTGAGTAATTCTCCAATTCTTCAATTACTTCTTTGTTAGTGTTTATGTAAAATAAGACATAGACTCTATTTTCAGGTTATTCCAGATATTAGATTAAAATGAAATATCACTAATTTATAACACAAAACATAATATGGCAATAGTTAAATGTGGCTAATTTTAGAATTAAGTTTTAAAAAGCTTGGAATAATATATTTCTTATAATTTTTTAATGCTTGAAGATAATGTTGGCTAAATAGACAAAGAATTTTGATTCAATAATGTTAAATTTAAAGAGAACACTAAGCAGAAGATAGAAAGTGGAAATGACATCTAAATAACAGCATTGTGATTGACATGATCCTTTTTTGTATTACATATATTCTATTTTCTTTAAAAATATTTATTTTTATTTATTTATGCATATAAAAACTGGGGAATAGGCCAGAGATGTAGGGAGTGAGAGGATTCACCAGAGACAGAGTGGGAAGTAGAACAGGCAGATCTATTGAAATACATTGCTGAGGGAAGTAGTGGACAAGATAGGGTAGGTCTACTGCACCATGTGGGCCAGCTCTCTGGCCAGGGATAGAACTAATGCTGCAGTGGCTGGCAACAACTTGAATAGTGCTGAGACTTAACCCCTTGCCACATGCATTCTCTTTCGTAATTCACATAGTCCCATAAGCTAATTCTATTATTACCTATATTTACATTTGCCTATTTGGAAGCAGAGAAAGGTTTATGTAGTCAAATGCTCTACCACTGAGCTATACCCCCAGAGAGAAAAGTTCATGAATCCATGTTGGTGTCATTAGAATTGCTTTAAGTTTGAAAACCATGTTCAAAATCTACATCTAAACTATTTCATTTTTTGTCATAAACAAGTGGCTACCTAATATGATAATCTAGTTATTATTGGTTATACACAATACATACTGAAAAGGTCAAGCTAGACTGGCTAACACTTATCAAGTTGACCATGCAATAGTCCTGGTTCGAGTTCTGAACATATGAACAGATATTCTGAAACTCATAATTGGAATAGAGATCTCACTGTTCTTTATCTTCAGTAACAAAATCAAGTCTCAAAGGATTATTCAGTGACTTTCCCAGGTCAAATAGTAAATTAGTGGGGGAACTGGGGCCAGTATACTACCTAGTTTCTGGATTCCTAGACCAAAATAAAGTTTTATAAAACAAAAACGAGACCAAAACTCAAATTCCCAAAGTGAGAGTAAAACAAGAATAAGCTTAAATAAATAAATATTAACACCGAGCTAAAAAAAAAAAACAAAAAAAAACCTCTAATTTAGAATCCATGAAGAGGTAGAAACTTTTAATTTTAAGTATATTTTTAAGATTGTTATTTTATATTGACAGGCCTTATAATTTTAATGGAATAATAACAGTAACAACCAGGTGAATAATTTTTAAAAACTCTACTTACTTTTTTTTTTCCTTACAGGTTAATTAGGAAAAGTAGAAAGAAAAAGACAGGCAGCTGTAAAGACAGGTAGGCAGGAGAGCTTACTTACTTTCCTTTAGGTATGAGGAGAGACTGTGAGTCAAATCATTAGCCTTGAGGAAACAGGAATCTAGAAATATGAGAAACAGCTATATAGGCAATTTTGCAAACACATATAATCAAAATAGATTAAATGAGAATGGTGTATTCTCCAACAGGTTATAAAACAGTGACTTGGCGATTGTCTAGTGTTTAAAACAACAACACATAGAGAAAGAAAATAGAATAGAAAGACATCCAATTGAATGGGAGAAAGTATTCACAACCGACAAGGGGTTAATAGCCAAGATATATCAATTTAACAATAAAACATTCAATAAGTGGGTAACAGATTTGAATAGACAATTCACCAAAGGGGAAATTCAAAAGGTCAGTAGATACATGAACAAATGTTCATCATCACTTTTTTTTTTAAAGATTTATTTATTTATTCATGCAGAACTGGGGTACAGGCCAGAGATGCGGAGGGTGAGAGGATTCACGAGAGATAGAGTGGGGAGTAGAACAGGCAGATCTACGAAGTACACTGCTGAGGGGAGCAGCGGGCGGGTCAGGAGAGGTCTGCCACGCCATGTGGTCA